CTCTACCATCGGTCAATAGTAATGGGTCGATTACTATTGGCTCTGGTTACTGGTGGCTCTGGTTCTGTTGGAACGGGCTCTGTTGGAACGGGCTCTGTTGGGGCTGCTCGGGCCAAGGAGCTCTCGGGGTCGGGCCAAGTTCATCAACAGACTCGCAATCAGAATCAGCTGCATCAGAATACTAAGAATCAGAGCTCTCTTCATCAGCATCAAAATCCTCACCAGATTCACAATCAGAAGAATCAGATCACTCAGATCCATCGCACTCAGCGCGCTCTTGTCGGCTTGCATCCGTTGCCTTTGAAGCCTGCATCTGCTCCTTTCGGTCTTCCTCATACTTCTCATTCTCATTCTCATATTCCTCCTCAACACCAAGATTCTCGTTCACATCCTCACCAAGAACCTGTCCCAGATCCAGGAACAACTCAAGCCGCTCTTGACCCTCTCAGCTCCCAGAAGAACCACGCACTCATCAACCCTCCGCTCGATCCCTCAACGCTTTCTTCCTCCCCCTCGGCCTCGGGAGCCGATACAGATCCGTCCCTCGATCTTGGTCCTTCTTCTTCTTCTTCTAAGAACCTGGGTCCCCTGAATCGCCCGCCGCACGGGATCCCTATCGGTCCTCATGCTTCGCCACAAAAGGGACTTCAGTCTCCGATCATAGTCGACTCTTCTTCTGAGCTTACTTCTACACTTCCTACTACTACTACTACTACTGCTTCTTCTTCTTCTTGAATTTTTATGTCTCCTGTCTCACTCTTCCTCGTCTCCTCCCCCCTTTTTTTTATCTTTTTTTTAATAGAAAGGTTTTTATATTTTATTTCATACATATATATTCAAAGAAAAAATTATTCTAAGGTTTAGAACTGGGTCTTCCTTTTTTAGTTTTTTTGAGTGGAGAGGGGAGTGGGGTGTGGGGGGGGGGGGGGGATCTGATTATCCCTTTTTCTCAAAAAAAAAGAAAGAAAAAAAATGTTGGGCTTGGGTCGTGGGTTTTTTTGGTTGGTTGGTTTGTGGTCAGTTTAGAGGGAGGGGGTGGTGGTGGATATAGTCCAAGTGAGTGAATGAGTGAGTGAGTGGAAAGAGGGACACAAGGGAGCTCAAGGACATCACTGATCCATTTTCTGTGGGAGAGGCTACACTACTACTAGTCCTCCTGGATGGTCGAAATAGTCCTACAAAAAAAATGGGTGGTGTTGTTGTTGATGTGAAGGTAGGATGAATCAATCATCAAGGAGAGGGATTGTTGGGACTCAAAAAAGTCTGGTTTGTATGGTGGTTGAAGGAGACCCCACTAAGCCTCCTTGGGGAGGAGAAGCACCACCAACCCTCTCCTCTCTCTCTGATCCCGTGGGCACTTCTCTTCACTATGTATGTACTCTGCCATTCCAACTGGTTTCAGGGCGTACATGCTCATCAAAACCACTTTTGGGTGGGGTTGGGAAAGGAGTTTTTTTGGGGGGTTTTGGGTTGGGTTGGGTGGTCAGAGTGGGTGGACAAAGTTCATCAATCACTCAAAGAGTCTGACTCTTGCTTGTCTTGTCTCGGAATGAAGCTCAATTCCTGAGAAAACATCCACTCTTTTTTGTGGGTGTGTGTGTGTGTATGGCTCCATGAGAATAGAGTTGTTGTCTGCAGAGCTGGGAGGTCTAGGATAGAGATGGCTCACTGCGGATCCCAAACCTAAAGATAATCATCCTGTTCTCTTTGGTTCTGATTTAAAGGACTATGTAGAGCAGGTCACACAGAAGACACCAGAAAAAAAAAAACAATGTAGTGGAACATTTCATCCTCACGCCGGTACACAGTACCAAGGGTTAAAAAAAACACACCAAACACTGGACACTCAATAGTTCCAATTTGGGAGATTTTGTGGAACAGGAGCCTAGAAATTGCAGTTGAATATCAAAAAAAAAAAATCACATATTTTTTTGGCATCTTGGTTTTCGTGTTGGGAGATGCAGAAAGATAGTGCATGTATCTGGTGTTTCATCCTTGCACTGAGTGCAAGGGTGAAACAAGATGGTATCAGACGCTTATTTGTATTGTCTCAGAATTTGAATACCCAAAAATACTGGATTTGTGTGGTCTCACTTTCCTGATCACAATACACACGTATTATTAAGTCTTTGGAAAGTGAGACTGGTATTCTGGATCCTCTCAGAGGGATGATCACACCAACAAACGTCTTGGATACACATGATATTTGGCCTTATTGAATAAAAAAAGAAGACAAAAAAAAAACAAAGACAATTTTTTTTTTTTTTTTGCATTTGTAAATCCAAATCCAAGACAGTGAATTTTCTCACCAAAAAAAAAAGGAAATAATGATACCAGTATCAGGCTCAAAACAAAGACGATACCGGCAACAGCGCAGCAGCTTCGCTACGCTTCAAAAAGTGTCATATTAGCGCAGCGGAGCGATATCCCGCTACTACTACAGCCACGTAGCAAAAGTGCAAGCGGCCAGGGCGCTATTATCAGCGGCAGCGTAGAGCCATCACCGCTATGCCAAATCTGAGGTTGGCGTAGTGAAGCGGTTTTTTTCTGCTATCGCTGCAGAATAGTGTAGCTTTAGCGCAGTAGCCATTAGCCGCTTTTAGCCCAAAAGCTCCGCTATCTGCTCTCAGCTGC